CGGAAGGAAGTGAAGCCAGAAGGTAGAAGACAATTTCAAGAAAAAAGAGTAATGAGCAAAGAAATGAGTACACATGGGGTGGAAAATCTAAACAGGAATTCACTTTATAAAATAAACATAATTATTATGACTAACTCAGGAGATTTAAAGCCAAGGTGAAACTAAATGTTGGTAAGAACACCTGTCAAACAGGGGAGAGCTGGGGTGCAGCTTAGTGGTAAGTGACTTTCCTGGTATGTGCAATGCCCTGGGTTCAAAGCCCAGCAGTGGAGAGGGGAGCCCCGAGGGCAGGATGACAAAGGTATTTTAAACATTTTAAGAGTTTTTAAAGAGGATCAGAGAGTAATTGACTATAATTAAGCAAGTTAAATACTTGAAATTTACCCTATGTAATAAAAATAGGATATATCATTTTCAAAGCAGAAAAGGGTAACAGACAAAATTTTATTGATCCAACAGAAAGTATCAAAAGGAAAGAAAGCATTAAAAAAAAGAACGGCAAACAGAAAACATTACAATTATGGGGTAGAAATGAAGTCTATGTAATAATAATCATAAAAAATTCACCAGTTAAAAGATGTTGCCCAACTAATTTTTTTGTTTATTTGAGATAAGGTCTTGTTTACAGTTTGGCAGCCTTTGAACACACTGTGTAGCCCAGTCTGGCCTTCAACTTGTGTAGAACCTCCTGCCTCAGCCTCCCAAGTGCTGGAACGATAGGCATATGCCACCACATCTGGCTTAAATTTTTAAAAATAGAATCTGATTTGGGAAGGTGGGGGCAGGAGGACTGCAAGTTTAAGACCAGCCTAGGCAATTTAGCAACTCAGCAAGACCCCGTCTCAAATTTAAAAAGGATTGGGGCCAGGCGTGGTAGCTCATGCCTGTAATCCCAGCACTCCGGAGGCTGAGGCAGGAGGATCATTCCGGAGGCTGAGACAGGAGGATCATGGTGAGTTTGACACCAGCCTAGGCTACAAAGTCAGCTCAAGGCCAGCCTGAATTGCACAGCGAGACCCTGTCTCAAAAAGATAAAAAAAATAAATAAATAAAAAATAAAAAGGGTTGGGATTGTAGCTCAATGCAAAGGCTCTGGGTTCAATGCTCAGCACCACACCACCGCCACATAAGAAGTGCAACTACCTTGAGATCACCGATCTATAGAATCCATACCACATAGGGACAAAGAGCCCTCGGAGCATCGGACATCAGACCTGAGGATGAAGAAGCCATTGGGGGAAGCGGAGAGATGCAGAGCTGCCAAGATGGTGGAATGCAGATTATAGAATCTAAGTGGCAAGTAGTGTTTGTTGTACAATTTTTAGCTTTTATAAAAGAGAAAAATTTGAAATTTTTCATTATAAAATTTTGGATGACAAAGATATCATTTTGAAAAGGGATTCTCCAGATTCTTACAGAAGAATCACTAGATCCTTCTGTAAGATACCACATGGAGCAGAGATGGAGCCCCAGCCCTGTCTACCCAAACTCCTGACCCAGGAAAAAAGAGCACTTAAGCCTGTGAGCCCAGGGCTCTAGATAACAGAAATTCTCTAAGTAAACCTCTTTTACTTTTTGTCAATAAGAATAACAATAACTATAAATAGGCTGTTTTTAAGAGATACAACACAACAAAGCAAGAGATGAGAAAAGGTATGTTAGAAAAACAGTAACCCTTTCCAACAGCCCCACCAAAATAGAGAGTTAGCAGGGCTAGAGTAACATAAAACAAGATGAAAAAAGTTTTAAAAAAAAAATTAATAGAGAAAGTATCATTTCATAAAGAATTTCTATAAAAACACATATTATCAAATCAGACTCAGAAAATTTGAAGAAAATGTAATCAGTAGTCAAAAATCTTGCCTTCTGGGGCTGGGGATTTAGCTCAGCAGCATAAGGGCCTGCCTTGCAAGCAGGCAGTCGTGAGTTTGATCCCTGGTACCGAAAAAAAGGAAAAAGACAAAAAAAAAAAAAAATCTTGCCTTCTCATTTAAAAAACTATTAGACCCAGGTCAGGCATTGTGGTTTGTAATTCCAGCATTCTGGGATCCTGAGAAGAAAAATCACAAATTCAATCCCTTGTCTCAAAATAAAAAAATTAAAAAGTGTTGTGGATGTAGTCTAGTGAAATTCCCAGGGCTGCAGAAAATAAAAGTATAAAGAATTTAAATTTTCTTTAAAAAGTACTAGGCCCAGACCAAGGTGTCAAGAAATAGGTAACACAAGCTTACTGCCTCAAACTGTTACAAAGAAAAAAAACAAAGACCCAGGTATGATTGCACACACCTGTAATCCCATAACTCAGGAAGCTAAGCAGGAGGATCTTCATAAATTCAAGGCCAGCCTGGGCTACACAGAGAGTGCTTGTCTCAAAAAAAGGAGTAACTCAACAACTCATTTTGTGAGGGTACTATGTCACTGACAGCAAAATTAGACAAGAATAGCAGAACAGTAAAATGGACACATTACAAACTCTAAATATTAGAATCGAGTCCAGCAATGAATGCAAGGTTAATCTCATACTTCATCAAATCTAAAACATTTGTTGATTTTTTCAATGCATCACTACTCTTTATACTAAGAAAGAAAAATACTGTCACTTTAACAACGACATACTGTTTTATCACTTGTACATTTTATACCTACTGAAGGAGCTTTTTAAACCTATATATGCAGATTTTTATCCTATATAATTTTTATGCATCCATTACAAGACAAACATAAATGAAATAAATAAGATACCCTTAAAACTTCACACTCGGAGTCCACCTCCTCTAAATGACTGCTCAGCTCAGAGTTTTTGATACTCATTTCTTACCAGCAAGAAGTGGTAATGCATCCTTTCACAGAAGTCTCTATTATTGTCTCCAACATTTTCTTCTAAGACATTGATGCATATCTTAAAAGTTCAGGTGCTAAATTTTCACTTAATTTACCGGAAGACAACACCAGAAAGGTTTCAGACAACAACTAAGATTCATATTCCTTCCTCAAATGGCTTTTGTCTAAAATACTAAGGGGCAACAGTGACCAAGGTTAGGCAAGAGCAATTAGAAGATGCTGTGTGCTGTAAAATATATTCTAATTACAGAAAAGCTAAAATGTGAAAAATATGTATCTCAGAATCAATGGACATGGCATGTCAAATCAAGTTGGCTTTATCTAGAGAATGCCAGACTAGTTTAACATTCTAAAGAACTATTAAAAGTAGGTCACCATATTAACACATTAGAGGAAAACATCCCCATGAATGCAGAAAGCACTTGATAAAATTCAGCAGTCATAATTTTAAAAAGAAATCTACTGGGCATGGAGGCACACATTTATAATTTCAGCTCTTGGGAGGCTGAGGCAGGAGAAGCACTGTGAGTTCAAGGCCAGCCTGGGCTACATAATAACTGTCTCAAACAGCTACAAAAAATAAAAAATGAAACCTTGGCAAAACAGAAATAAAAAGGAACAGACTTAATCTCACATAGCTACCTGCCAACATTTCACAGCCAAAAGAGAGGGGAGTGGAGAGGAGAAAGGAAAGGAACAAAAGAGGAAGGAATTAGAAAAATGCTCTTAAGGCAGAAACAAAATAAAAGATGATTGCTTATCTATAATAATATACTAAAGGGCTTAGCCAGATCAATAAAATAAGAAAATATTAGAGACAGTACAAGAGCTGGAAAAGAGAAGAAAAATCTACACTATTGTTATTCTTAGATAACTTGATCATCAACTTAGATATTTCAAAATAATCTACAACTATCACACTGATAAGAAAATTGTGGAATACAAGAGCCAATTTTTTTAAATTCCTTAAAGGAATTGCAGTGTGGCAATAAATACTTTAAAAGTCTAACTTTCATAGAGGGTCCTATTCATAAAAACTTCTAAAACAAGGTATACAACCAAAAATATAATGCATTTTTATGGAAAATATTTAAATATTTATTCAAACAAGACATTTATTAATTTTAAAACTGATACACATAGGAAGATATAAATTATGTCAGTAAATCATTTCTAGCTGAAATGTATTATACAATCATTACAATTCCATTCAAAATATATGATTTGATAAGCAGATTATAAAATATATATGGAAGAAGGAAAATATTACATCTAGGAAGAGTCAAATCGATTCTGAAGAAAAAAAAGAAAAGATGGAGACAGGAGGACTCACCCTACCAGGCATCATGAATTTTTCTAAAGTTTTAAGAATTAAAACAGAATAGTATTAATGTGATGACAATCTGCTGGAGAACAGAACAAAATGCTTAAATCAGAAACTAATCCAAATAAAGAAAATTTGATCAACCCAATGGAATGCAACAGACCTACAGTATATAGTAAAGCAGAGGCTTAAAAAGGAAATGTTTGTTTATAAGAAAAATATTTTAAAGAATTACTACAATAATCTGAAGGATAACTACACAATAAAATATCACATAAGTCCACACTGTAGCATAATTATTAACTTGGAAAGATGTTGACAATATATTATGTGACAAAACAGGCTATAAAATTAAAGTTTTTCAACTAAGACATTAAATGTTTAAAACAATCTTCTATACACACAAATAGGCCAAAGTTCCATTATGCACCTACAATATTTTAATCTCTTATCAACTCTGATGAAAAACTAACCAAAGAGTACAGTAAATTAACTCCAGAGTTTTGAACAATAAAGTCACCATTATAATGCTTAAACTTTCAAATACAATTCTTTTTTTGTTTGTTTGTTTTGCTTTTGTCTTTTTCCTTTTTATTGGTACCAGGGATCAAACTCACGACTGCCTGCTTGCAAGGCAGGTGCTTATGCCGCTGAGCTAAATCCCCAGCCCTCAAATACAATTCTTTTATAAAGCCCAAAACAATTACAGGCTTTCCCCATTCAACGATAGGCTTCTATTCCTGAGTTAGGTCATTAAATGAATTGGTCACTAAATGAAGAATTGTATATAAAATGTACATTAGAGTATTCAGAACAAATAAATGGTCGAAGGAAATGCCAGTTTGATGACTTTGCTTTTATTTGCATAATGCTTACATGCAGTACTATAATATATAACAGAACATAAAACTATAGTACTGTACTATATTGTACAATCAGCAAAAATTGCAATACTGTATAAACAAGGTATACTGTACCCCTACCCTCTATAGACAAGATGTACTGAACTGTACAAAAAGCTCCCACAAGTCATAAGCCCAAACAGCATGTCTCAGTCGTAAATCTGAACAGTTGTTAAACAGGTAGTTCGTTAAACAAGGAATACCTGTGTATCCCAGAGTTGACACTAACAATCTGCACCTTTCCAGATGGGACTACCGCTCCATTTAGTCAGAGAGCTATCAAAGCACTGTGGCCAGGGTTGTTAAGCATGTACAGAATCGTATCTACCAAAGATCCAGGTAAAATATAATAAACTATACACTAAACAACTAGGTGTTGTAAATTAATACACCCAAAGCTACATTCATATGATGATGCCATATTTATAAGGGAAAGAGTGGTAGCAAGAAGTTACTTGAGGGCTTTTGAGAGAAAAATAAAACATTTTGTCTCACTACATTAATATCCTTTGGAAAACTGTAACCTGACTTGGGTGCTCTACAACCTGTACTCCATATATGATTAACAAAAAGTTTTCCAGAAAGCTGAAGAATCGTAACAGATTTCATGAAAAAAGCAAAGGCATACAGTACAAGGTGAGAAGTTAAAGACTCTAAGGAAAAATATTTCCATTATTATTCCTTTATCCTGAAAATATGTATTGTGTTCTTTATATACCGTGATGAAATATTTTTGAAACCAAAGAGATAAACTGCCTTTATTTTGTAAAAGTTAAGACTGGATCAGGCTATACAACAGCAATTGGATGTAAGGTGCACTAAATCTTGTCTTCTAGAAGAGCTGATTTTGAATTCAATCACCCTTTGAGTGAAGTCATCCCTGCTCGCATAATTTCATCAACCAGGAGAATGTTGGTGGCAATCACTGTGCTAAAGAACAAGAGGAGAGTGAGTGAAACCTGCTAACCCTTGCTTGTCTTTTCCCCCAGCAATTTTCTGCTATAAACGGTACTTTTTTTCTTCAGTTATGTTGGTATGAGATTTTATGAGACAAATCTATTATAAGTACAAACATCATCACTTGTATTACAATTTCAACTCCTTTGTTGATAAGGTGGAAACATGATTTATATTCCAGAAAATTGAGGTTATTTTGAATCACACCATTTTATTTTCCTCACTATACAAGTGGCACTATTTCAGCAGCTGGCACTTTCCCTGTCCCATCAAATCAACAGTTACACTGACCATTCCTATAACTTATACTGCTGCAATTAAAATACACAATGGGCATAAAATAACAGAAACTAGTCTTAATAACTGGACACTACATCTTTTTATACACTGGGCATGTTTTCCACTGCAGGATGACAAAAAATAATAGGAAAATTTAATGCATCAATTATTCCCTAAAGATATTTCTTTGTGTATTACTTCCAGCTTACCAAGAGTGAAGAAGTTGTTTTTTCACACAATAGTTATCCCAGATTCCTGCATCTTCTGCTAACATTGGTTCTCCTGAAAAGTAAAAATGTATACCATTTTATACTGACGTCCTGATACATTCTTTCAATGTTTATTGGTATAATCTAACAATATTTAATAATTACCCATAGTAGTTTTGTCAAAATCATCAATGTTCCCTATCTCACCACAGTAGAATCCTAAGTCCTCAGAATAGCCCATATGTCCCTGAGTGATCTTTCTAATACGACTCTGTCTCCCTTTCCTTCTCAAAGCATCACATGCTGATTTTTCCCCAGCTGTCCTCTCTCCCTTGAATACTTATTCCCGGTTCCCCTACATGGCCAACATCTTTATTTCCTTTCACTGTTTAGTAGATGTCTTCTCAGTGAGGTCTACTCTGTCTAATCTCTAAGTTACGAACCTCCCAACCCATCCCCTTAAGACTTCCCGATCATCCTTATACTGCTTTTTTATCCTTTTCATCAAATTTACAGCTTCCTCAAATGCTAAAGACACTTACTTATTAAAGTTATTATTTAGTGCCTGTTGTCCTGCACTGTAACAGAAGCTCACAGAGGCAAGTATTTTATTTTGTTTTGTATGAAAACCACCAAGCATATAAGTTCTCGATAACTGTTTCTTACATGAATATTTTAAGAGATTCAAAAGTAAACTACAATCACCAAGTCACTCAAATCCCTAAGCACCTTACTGTAAGATCTGGATGACTGAAGAATAACCTCTTTCCTTACTAAGCAGTTCATTTTTCTTCAGTTTCTTACCTGTATTCAAATCTATGCCAACAAGTTGCTTTGATTCTGAATGCTCAGTCTGAACTTTTACTAGTGTCTCCTGCAGGTCAAAACCAGAATTCTGAGCAAGAACCTTTAAGAATAATAATAATAATAATAAATATATGCATGGAATAGTTTTACATGTATATATGAGTAGCAAATATAAAAGGTATTACTGTTTAGTCTTATGGAAACATCTTTAATTCGCTAATCATCTCCTTTTGAAGGATACCATTCTTAACAAATTATTTTATCTAGTCATTTTTATATTTACATAAACATTATTCATGTGCATATTAAACAATATCTTAAATTGAGTTCCTCCAATCCTACATTAATTTCCTTCCTCACAAAAACTATGTTAAATGTCAAAGGAAGTAGTACAGTATTCTGTTTTCTCTAATCCTTCTAGGTACATGTATTCTAGTTTCTCCAAGGCACTTGCTAAAGAAAGCTAGCATATTTCCAGCACCTGTGTGTCCTCATCTTCAAGATGAAAGCCACGGCCTGGGGCAGCAGGGACAGAGATACTGGTATTCGGGCCATGCTTCCAAGTTATCCCAAACCAAAAAATAATGCAGAAAAGGTACCACCAATGTGCCTCGGGGTTACCAATTTGTGTTAACAATGTATCATTTTTTTAGAGATTTTGCTGCCTTAGGGAAAGAAAAAAATAGATATCTGATATACAAAGAATCCATAAATTATGAATAATTTAATAGCCATTTATCTTAAAAAATTTTCACAGTTTTGTAACATCTTAATTCATGCATCTTATTCAGCAGCATATTGGAAATAGTTTCATGTATTTCCAAGTGGTTCACAACCAGGTTATGCAAAGAGAAAGAAATAATTCTCTGTCTATTGGTTACCTAACAGAAAACCTCTAGTTTTTCTTTTCTAGGAATTATAATGACAATGACAAATGCAGTGTGTGGGAATGTGAAACGGTCTGGAAAATTTAAAGTGATCATATTTTGGACACCACCAACAAATGAATTATCTACCCTGAAGTCTGGCTTCTAACTTTTCACTGCAATTAGTTCATCATGAACCATTTCTGAAGGAAACTTTTGGAGCTACTTCAACTTTTGAAGGTCCTAGAAAGGAACAAGAGAATAATCTGCCCACTTTGTGGAGCTCCTGAAAGAATTTGGGGCTATTATCCCAAAAGTTTCCCTGCTGGAGTTGTAAGACAGCTAAGAGAAAACTGTATGAGGGAATGTAGAGACGCCCGTCTTTCACTCTGCTGTTGGATTTCATGGGATGATATGTAAACAAACACCTTGCAGCCTAACCCGTCGTTAAGTGGCCCTAGGATGGCTGTACCTTGGGAATAATGAGCAAGGCGTCAGCAAAGGCCTGGACTCCAAGACGAGCTCTTCCTTTCACACTGGGTTTGTGGTTAACAAGAGCATCAGCTATTGCCACTTCCACTGCACCAGCCCCTGGGACCACACAGCCTATTGGACAAGAGAAATAATGCCAAGACACGCCATGCAGTGGGGGAAGAAGTGAGGAGAAAAGCAATTAGCTATACAGGTATGTTCTATTCTCTTGTCTGCTTCTAAAATGTATTTAAATATGTGCAGAAATCAAATAAATCACACAGCTCGGTAATTACTCAGTTGTCCTATGAAGCATTCTGAAGCTAAGTAATTGAGCATGGTAGATAGCTGGTTACAAACAGCTTATTCCATTGCTTATCCTCTGGCAAATAAGAGTAGACATTTCTTTCATCTTACTTCTTTATAGCTACTTTGAAAAGGCAGTTATTTATAATTTATAGTGGCAGGTAACTGATTATAATATCTGACTTGAAAATATTTTAGACCAAGATAATTTGGCCAGAGTTTTTGGTAACGCATTCTTAGGATTCAATGAACTGTTTTCTGTTTTGGAACAGAACCCAAACTACTAAAAATTTAAGTGGTCTTATTATTCTAAAGCAAGAGCTTTTGTTAAACACATCAATTTTCACATCAGGATGGGACTGTTAAATCTGCATAGTTTTATAAAGCCTATGACTTATTTGAACAAACAAGCTTCTTTGGAATCATGTTATCTTTAAAACAAAACAACACAAAAGCAATCAATTCTTTCTTTCATTGCACTCATATTTAAATTGCTATCCCCCTTTTCTGCTTCTTTTCACAACATAATTGATAAAAGCATGTTTACCCACTATCATCCATGAGGTAATTATATCTGTACATCCCAATCACATATTTTAAAAAGCTCCTTGCTCAATGTAGGATACACTCAAAAGAATATTTATGTATGTAAGGTATAAAGAATAAATACACAGGGCTGGGGATTTAGCTCAGCGGCGTAAGTGCCTGCCTTGCAAGCACACCATCGTGAGTTTGATCCCTGGTACCGATAAAAAAAAAAATAATAAATATACAAATAAACAAATGTATCCACGTACCTACCACCTAGTTTAAGAGTCAGATTACCAATACTTATGAAAACTTCCTTAATCTTATTCCCCTATGAAAACACATCATACTAAAATTTGTGGAATGCTACTAAGGCAGCACTTAAAGAGAAATTTATATTACTAAACATATTTGTATCATTGAACACCTATATAAATAAAAAGATTTTAAATCAATTAATTGAGTTCTTGCCTTAAGAAATGAGAAAAGAGGAAATGAAACCTAATGCAAGCAAAAGACAAGCAATCATAAATATCAGAGTAGAAATTAGTGAAACAAAAATTACCAATGTCAGAAACGAGAGAAGTGACATCACTACAGATTTTACAGATATTAAGAGTAATAAAAGAATGCTATGAGCAATAATGTTAGGCCAATAAAGTGGAAAACTTAGATCAGAGATTGACAAACTTGTTGTAAAATGCCAGTTAATAAATACAGTCATACTTGGGTTCACAAATGTTTCTAGCATTCAGCACAATTTTTCTTTCATTTAGGAACTCCGCCTCATCTTCCCTGCTCTGACACCTAGTCATGGCTTCCTCTAGTGGAGACTGCAGTTAGGCACAGACTGTGTACACTTACTGTGAAGTTTTTTGTGTGTGCCTTTTAGCACAAAAAGTGTTGTACAGTACTATTCCATCTGTCATGGCTCCCAGAAAGTGCAGAGCAAGCATGGTGGTAAAAAGAAAACGCCGGGCAGTAACAAAGGTGACAAGTATGCAAGAGCGATAATGATGCTAACAAGAAAGTGGAGAGCAAGAATAGTAAGAAGGAGGTTGTGAGGAAAATAATCACTGAACTGAAGAAGAAAACTGTAGAAAAGACTGAGCTGGCTCTGGAGTACAAATCAGTGAAGTCAACAATGTCGACTATTTTGAAGAATAAAGATGCCATCAAAGGAGGCGATTGGCAAAAGGAGTAACAATGTAAAACAAGCAGAGAATGCAGGTGCTGCAAGAGGTGGGAAAACTTTTACTAGCTGAAGGAGAAACAGCTGGCTATGGCCTGTGGCAGAGAAGCTATGAAAAACCCAGGATTATGCAAGAAAACCCCTGTACCAGTCCAACAAATGGTGAATTTAAAGCCCATAGAAGGTGGTTTCATAAATGCTGCTAGAGATGTGGCACCCACAGTGTGACAGATATGGTGAGGCCTCCAGTTCTGACATGGCCACTGAAGAATTCCCAGAATTCACGGAGGCAGAAGGATATTTCACTCAACAAGTGTTTAACTGGGATGAAACTGGTTCTTCTGGAAGAAGATGCCAAATAGAACCTGTATCATACAGGAGGAAAAGGCACTGCCAGGGCACAAGCCCACAAGGGACAGGCGAGCCCTTTGGCTGGGTCGGAATGCAAATGCGGACCTGATTAAGCAGCTACTGCTGTACCATTCTCAGACCCTTTGTGTATTCAAGGAACAGGATGTGCTCAAGACCACCTGTCTTGTGAAGGCAGTGTGAAAGCCTGGATTACAAGGCAATTGTTTATGGAATGGTTGCATGAGATGTTTGCACCCACCTTTAGGAAACACCTTTCTGACAGCCAACTGCCTACAAGGTGCTTTTTTCTGATGGATAATGCCCCAGCACACCCCCCAGCCTTAGTGGATGATATGGAGGCTGAGTGTGACTTCATAAAGGTCAAGTTCCTCCCTCACAACACAACACTTCTTCAGTAGCCCATGGACCAGCAAGTCATCTGCCACTTCAAGAAGCTGTAACAAAAAGTGCTCTTCACCAGGTGTTTTAATGTCACTGAAGAGATGTCCTGGACTCTGAAAGCATTCTGGAAGAAACACTTCAGAGTTCTCCACTGCATCAATCTTATTGACAAAGCCTGGGAAGATGTCAAGAGCAGACCTTAAACACAGCCTGGAGGAAACTGGCCAGAATATGTCACCAACCATGACTTTGAAGGGACTGATGCACAGGTAGTGGAGGAGACGGTGTCCATGGGCAGAGATGGTCTGGATAATGATGTTTCAGACACAGAGGAGCTTTTTGAGGGCCATGCGGAGGAGCTGACTACAGAAGAACTTGCTGAACTCCAGAGTGAACAACAGAGGCTTGTTGAGGAGCACCCACTAAAGAAGAAGAAGACAGGAAGGAAGTCTGAAAATTAGTATGGAGATTCCTCAAAAACCTGAAACTAGAAATACTACCGTTTGAGGCCAGGGATTTAGCTCAGCAGCATAAGCACCTGCCTGGTGAGCACAAGATTGTGAGTTCAATACCAAAAAAAGAAAAGAAATACTACCATTTGATTCAGTTGTGCTACTCCTAAGTATATTCTCAAAAGAATTAAAGACAACATATAATAACGATACATGCATACCCATAATTACAATGGACCATTCACAGTAGCTAAGCTGTAGAACCAGGCTGGTTGCCCATCAACAAATGAGTATATGAAGAGAATATATTATCTATAATGGTATATCTTTCAGCCTAAAGGAGAAAATAATCATTTAACTTGCAGGAAAATACATGGAACTGAAGACCATGTAAATATACCAGATTTACGAAGTTAAATATCTCATGTTCTCTCTTAAATGGAAAATCTAAAATATAAATAAATGAATAAGTGAAATAAAGGAGAGATGAGTGAAAACTTGAAGATGGACTCTTGGAAATGGGGACAGGAGTCAGTGGGAGGGGGGAAAAGGGGAGTTTAGGTAAAAGGACTGAAAATTATCAAGAATGTTTATACATGTACCAATTCCTCCCAGATGAACAAAATTATTCTGTATTGCAAGCATGCATTAATAAAAACAAATCTAGAAAAAACACCAGTTTGACACTTTGTAAAAGTTAGACATACACCTACTATAACCATTGCATCCTTAAGCACTTTCTGAAGAGAAACGAGCACAAATGACCATAAAAAAATCTACACAGAAATATTCATAACAGCTTCAACCAGTGAATGGATAAATTGGACCACATTCACCCAATGCAGTACCAAGGAGCACAGAAACAACTACTGATAGGTGTAATAACAGCAACGAATTTCAAACTAATTATGCAGTGTAAGACGCAGACCAAAATAGAATACATACTGTATTAGTCTATTCATATAAAATAGTAGAAAATTCAAACTCATCTGCAGATGAGTTAGGAAGCAGAGCAAGGCACGTGGTGACATGGAGAGCTGTGGAGGGAAGGGTGACCAGCAGGCATACTACCCTGAGTGAGACGACATCTGGGTGCTCACTTAAATACGTGCAATTCACTCTGTCACTTATACTCAGTAAAATTATTTAAAACAAACTTCAGTGATGGAATTTTTTTTTTCTTTTTGATACAGGGTCTTGTTATGTAGGTCCAGTTGGCCTTAGGCTCACTTTGTAGCCCAGCCTGGTCTCGAACTTACAATGATTCTCCTGCCTCAGCCTCTTGAGTGCTGGGATTCCAGGCCTGTGCCACCACAGCTGGCTCTTGAAATAATTTTTAAATAGAGCAGTCCATTCATTCTATATATCCTAAATTTTAACAGTCAGATGGAACTATCAAAGGCTCCATGCCTGGATTATGCTTTTCCTGAAAAAAAAAAAATGCTGGAAGCATCCACTATAAAAAATAGGAAGAAATCCTTACATAAAGCCCCACATTATTTCCACTTAAGAATGATGTATTTTCTCCTTTCCAATAATGAAATTTATGTAACTTATCATATTTCTTTATATTCCAGCAACATAAATATTAATAATGATTACTGTTTGTTATTATTTATGTTCTTTTCCCTAGATTCTAATTTTCCAGTTTTACTATGATTTCACATCTATTTTTTGTTTATCAGAGAAAAGCTAACCATTACTTAGGTTTCTTATCATTCTTTATATATATTTCATATATCATAAAACATCCTTTTAAAGCATACTTCTCAGTCACTTTTTAGGAGACTCATAAGACTGCAACTACCATTTTTACCACCTCTCAAAAAAAAAAATACTGTGCTCATTATCAGTTGCTCACTTGACAATCATTAATCTACTTTTGGCTTGCATGGATTTGCTTGACTGGACACTTTCTATAGATAATACGTGGTCTTCTGTATTTGGATTCTTTTATTTAGCATAATGTTTTCAAGGTTCATCCATGTTGTAATACACTCCAATACTTTATTCCTTCTTATGGCAACTCGGTCAACACATACTGTTGCTTAGCTTTTTTGTTACAGCCATCCTGAAGGTGTAAAATGGCATGTTTGTTGTTTGGTCTTTCATTTCCCTAATGACTGATGACGTTGAACATCTTGTCATGCACCTATCATTCTACTTTCAGTGTGAGCTTTTATCATATTCTCTACCTTGACTCCTTTTAGAAGGTCATAAGTTGTCAATAAATAATAAAGGTTGCAGGGTGTTGTTGAACACATTTTAGATACTAGCACTCTAAGATACTGAAGCAGGAGGATCACAAGTTCAGAGCCAGCCTGGGGACCAGGGACATAGCTAAGTGGTACAGCACCTGAGTGCAAGGTCCTGAGTTTGATTCCCAGTACAAAAAAAAAAAAAAAGCCAGTCTGGGTGACTTAGTGACTTAATAAAGCTCTGTCTGAAAAGAAAGAGGAGCTGAGGATCTAGTTGACCTTGGATTCAGTCTCCAGCGCTGCAAAAGGATGGTGATGATGTGTTAACATTTCCTTCCTAAAACTTCACTATACCTGAGGTAATTAAATGAGTTCTGAGCTATTAAAGCTCTTCCATGGTTTAAATAATAACTTCCTGGTGGACCACAGGGAGGACAACCAGACACCAGCCCCTTCCTGTCAGTCTGCACCATTCGCGGCTGTGAGGAGAATAAGAAGCTAGCCACTTCCTGTGAGCCGGCCTGCAGGGAGGACAGCCAGATGCCAGCCGCTCCCAGTGTACAGGCTGGTGTCCCCTAACCATGAACAACCCACTGATCTGGGGGAACACGCTGAGATGATGACCACTGAGGTGGAATACGACTTAATGCTTGTAGCATTTAGTGTTTCTTTGACTTTGCAGGCCTAATGCTAGCTGGTGCTCTGTTTATCTATTTGGAGGATGGCAATGCACAGGATCTCCTTCTGGGGGTGCTGCCCATTGTTAAATCCCTGTTGTCCAGTTTTAAGGTCCTGTATCATCTTCATTGCTTTGTTTGGCTTTATTCTGTTGTCTTGACTTTATTGTATCTGATGGCATGTGCAGCTGTTTCAAAGACAACAAGACATATTATGGTAGCCATTTTAGATTTACTATTATCTTGTTTTGAAGTCCTATATTTTGTTCATTGTTTTGTTTTTATTGGTTTTATTTTGTTTTGTTAGATTTTCCTGTGTCTGATGGTATGGGCAACTATTTTGAAGACAAGAGGCATTATGGTAGCCATTGTTGATTTCCTATTATCTTGTTTTAAAACCCTGTGTCACTTACACTGATTTGTTTTGATTGGCATTATTTGGTTTTATTTTGCTTGGTTTTATTCTCTTTAAAATAAAACCAAATTAAGAAAAAAAAAGAAATAACTTTCTAAAAGTAACAAAGACACTATAATATTTCATTGCTTTCTCATTTTATAAACAAATTAATTAAGAGGGCAGCACCCTATTAAGAATATTCCACAGGAGCCAGCCATGATGGCACATGCCTGTAATCCAAGCACTCGAGAAGCTGAGACAGGAGGATTGCTGTGAGTTCAAGGACAGTCTGGGCTCCGTACTGAGTTCAAGGCCAGCCGGAACTACAGAATGAGACTCTGTGTACACACACACACACACACACACACACAAAAGAATATTTCACAGGAAATCGTTTACCATCCAAGCTACAATCTGTCCAGAGCAAAATGAAAGAATAGTAAATATTCTTTTTTTAGTTTTTTTTCAGTAATGGGGATTGAACCCAGGGAGCACTGAACTATATCTCCAGTTCATTTCTAGTTCTTTCTTATCTTGAGACAGGGTCATGCTAAATTGCTCAAAATGACCTCTAACTTGAGATTCTCTTGCCTCATCCTCCCAAGAAGATGAGATGATAGGCATGTACTACCATACCTGACCATTCATATTTTATAATACTATCTATACCTTAACAAATTTATTTTTACCTTGAAAATATGTGAGGTTCACACCATCACAGAAAAAGAGCTTACCATCTTCAATGGCATTCTTAACAGCACGAAGCCCATCTCTTACGGCATCCTTGATTAGAGTGAGGGTATGCTTATTTGGTCCCTTGATCAACAAGGTAACAGAACGAGGGTTAACACAATCCTCTATAAAAGTGAACTTTTCTTCACCCTAAAGGATGGCACACAGACACAACTTTAGGGCTGGGAACAAAGCTGTCTGGTAGAATGTTTATCTGCGTGCATGAGGTCCTGAGCTTGAACCCGGGCAGTGCAAAAACAAACAACAAAACAAAAACAAACAAAACAATCCCATAACTTCAATATTTAATCTTATGAAATAAAGATCTCATTTATATTATAACAAATTGGTGTGAATTTTTCTTATTAAACAACTAAGTTATGTTTAAAAGTAGTTAAGTTACATTTGAATTCTTAATGTTTAGATTAAATTAATTGCAAAATCTGTCCTCTGGGTTAGTCAGATCTCCAAATATGAAATGTAAATTAAAAGGTTAGAATTTTGAAAAAAGGTTTAGTGTTCCTATCATAACCACTATTCACAGAAGTACTCACTAATGTATACTCAAATACAAGACCAGCATGTCCCAAGCAATCTATATCAAGGTCTTCAAGAGAATTCACAGCCATTCCACCACAAGCAAGAGTGAGTCTGAAATTATATATATGTCACTATAGCTTTTGTGAGAAAAAACACAAATGCTAATTTTTGCAGACAAAAAGAAAATTAATACAGAGGACTGCATTGTCATTGTATATATTTATTAACTACTATGTGGTGTTTAGTGAAATGGCTAAGTTGAGCTAATTAACATATATATTACCTCATATATATTACCTAGCGTTTTTGTGGTGAGAATGTATAAATCTACCCTTAGATTTTTTTCAACAATATATTGTTATTAATTATAGTCACCATGTTTCACAACACATCCTGAAACTTGTTTATTCTTCCTATGTAAATTTTTTTGTCTTTTTGAGGCAGGGTCTCACTATGCAGTTCAAGCTGGCCTAGAGCTCACTTTGTAGACCAGGCTGGTCTCAACTCATCATGATCCTCCTGCCTCAGCCTCCCAAGGGCTGGAATTATAGGCATGTGCCACTATGCCTGGCTATTCTTCCTTTGCAAAAGAAATTCTGTATCCTTTGAAAATCTCTTAAACTCCTCAAGCTCCTCACTGTCTGAGCTCCTGGAAACTACAATCCTCCTATCTACTTCCATGAGTGCAACATTCTTAAGATTCCATGTACAAGTGAGATCATGCAGCATATTGTTTTTAAAATCTGCTTTAAAGAAAATGAAAACTTCCTGATACTTCAACAAAATTCTGAAATAGGTTAATAACCTTGATTTTTGATAGTTTAATTATATACTGAAAGCCAGGCATGGTAAAACACACTTGTAATCCTAGCACTCGGGAGGCTGAGGCAGGAAAATCATTGCAAAGTCAAAAACCAGCCTGGACTATAAAGTTACTAACTCTGCAGAGGGTTTCAGTCTCCCTGGAGCCCTAAAGATCATGCTGCATTGTCTCATTCTTTTGAGCCTTTGCCATGCACTCATTTGGGGGGTTGGGGATCTAAGCACAGACTCCAACACACACCTAGCCTCAAAATTTGAAATCTGTATACTACTTTTTGCTCACCAACATTTACTAGTAAGCTAAAAAGAATACACTTGGGAAAATTTCAATTTAATCTGTTAAAAATCTCAGGATACAGAATTTGTAAGCTTACCTTTCCATATTTCTTCTTTTTGCTCTGCGAAGAGCTATTATTCCATGTTTTGCAAGAGTATCTAAGGAAAATGGGTCAATTCCCTACAATCAAATTAACATAAAAATTATAAACATGTCTTCTGTCTTTTGGTTTTTTGTTTTTGCTTTTCTTTGGACTAAACACGTACTAGGCAAGTATTCTACCACTGAACCACAACCTTAGCCATAAATATATTTTAAAACAGTAGTTCTCAAATTTATAGTTTCAGCACTATTAAATACATTTAAAAATTAAGAACCCAAAGAGCCTATGTTTATACAAGCTGTATCTATATTCATATCATAAATTAAAACTGAGATTAATACACTTAAAATAATAATAAACCTATTCCATGTCAACAAATATTGCTTTTTAATGAAAATTTACATTTCCAAAAATATATTTATATGAGAGTGATTATAATTTTGTACATATCTTTAATGTCTGTCTAAATAGAAAACAGGTAGTCTCTCTCATATACAGCTTCTATACTCAGTATGATATGGAGCTTTGGTTCAATTATAGAAGAAATTCGCACTTATTAGAATATGGGAAAGGGAAGAATATTTTAATAGTTTTTTCAGATAACCGTGGATACACTGTTCTCAAAGTATGTTTATACCAAAACTCAAGTAACGTAGCTTCTCAGTGGTTACTGTCAGTGAGGAACACTGAACCATATCAGTGAACTTTGCAGACTCTCTCCTATTAAAATCCGTTGGTTTTACAATTCAATGGATTATGCGTTCACACATAATTTTGTAAAACCCTGCATCTACTAGTCATTCACAAACTATTGGCTCACTGAGTTAGGCTCAAATATTAGACTGGAAGCAAATACTCTCAGGTATTTTCCCTGAAGAAAACTGCTTCGTTTATTTTTCAGCACAACCTACCAAATACCCAAATCTAACCATAATTTGTCTGTCAGTCACATTTTCAAGGCAAAATGGCTTTCCATGAAAAAAGTGTCTAGTTTAGCTCACAGTTCAACGTTACAGGACTTTTCCTTCAAAATACCCTCACATTGTTACACAGCAGAAGTGCTTTGTCTGTGCCTCATATGTTTCCACATAGAATTATAAAAGGATGCATACTTAAGAATCAATATTTAATAAAATTAGTTAAGTTTTACTACCTCATCCAGGCATTCTTAAATGAAACTGCCTTTTCTTTACCTGCATGTATATAGTGGTTTGGCAATAAAGAACATAGCGAATAGCATAGTTTGGTCTACTGCTTTATTTGCATAAAATTGCTAGCAGTTCTGTCATGGCTTTTGCACTATTGCTGCAAATGTCAAAAGAGTGTAAAAGGCACAATGATTAATATGAAAATAGTTTTGACTTCAGATATCATGAAAGTCTTAGGGGTTAGGCAGTCCAGGAGTTCACTTTGAAAAATGCTGAAGATACTTTACAAATAATTAAACTCTAAGTTAGCCTTCTCACCTTTTGATTAATGACAACAAATCCCTTATTGGAACCAGAGCAGACTTTGTCTTTCAGGTCTATTATTTTTTGTACTCTATCTTCAATAAATTTTCTTTCAGCTTTTACCAATTTCTCTTTCTCTTCTGCCGTCTTATAAAAGAAACCAGAGCTCACTTCTCTAAAATGTTAATAAAAACAGGCTAGTAAAGGCAGTGGGAAGAAAAAAAAAAAAGAGGAAAAGCTAGAAGTCTATACTAAATGTCTGGGAGGAAAGGAAAAAGTTTTTTAAACTTTTAGAAAAACAAATTTCAAAAGTTATAAAGAGAAATGATATGGGCAAAATGTACTTATGAACCCCTCCCTCAAAAATGTGCAGCTAGGGAGGGTAGGGCAAGGGGCGCTAGATATAACCAAAGTATACTATGTGCATGTAGGAGTCTGCCAAAATGACACCCATTAATCTGTGTAGTCAATGGGAAAAATGAGTCAAAACTAAAAGAGAGAGAGAGAACTGAACACATACGTTTTTTCATATTCTAGTGATACATTGCAAGTGAAGATAAATGCATCTTCAACCCTCTTCTTCATTGCTGGATGACGGGCACCATGATCCAAAACTAATCCTCGGATCAACCTATTAAAATATGCAATATTTCTTACTTTGCTTTTTTTTTTTTCTTTTTGGTACCAGGGATCGAACTCACAACCTCACACTTACCAGGTAGGCGCTTACATAGCTGAGCTAAATCCCCAGACCCTTACTTTACTATTTAAAATGTTTTATTTAGTCTGTAGTGGCCATGCATAGTGCTCACATTCATCATCAGAATTTGTACCAATTTTTCCTACTTTAAATACACACTCTAAAATTTGGTATAAGATTAGAATTACATTCCAAATTGTATCAAAATGGCCAGGAAACACATTGTTTCTTTGTGCTGATTTCAGACCTAGCATATAATTAGTAAAATTAGGAAAGAAAATTTACTTTAACACAGTGTGACTGAAAAGTCACAATGAAAAGTCAGACCAGAATTATTCTCTATGTTACACAACTCAAAAACATTACACAGCTGATCCGGTAATGAAAGACAGACACACAATGGACTTCTTAGGGACATTTGTTCATAATAATTATATGGAACAACTAAAAATTGTTAACCTAAATGTTCAACAATAGGATATCGCTCAGCAAATAATGATCCAACTATTTGACGGCCATGAAAACTATACAATAACATGGAAAAATATTTGTAAGACTAGCTGACAAGCACAGGAGGACAAATTGTATGGAAAACAATATTGTAACTATTCTTTTTTTAAAAAAAGCATCTTGACACTCAAGGAAAAGCATAAGGAACCTAAGAATAGGGTTGACTTCAGTGGTAGGAATATGGGTAATGAAAGAGGAGGCTTTTTTCCTGTTGCTTCCCTAATATCTTTTCTAGAGTAAATATTTTTATAACTTTGTAGAAGTCATTTATGCAAGTTTAAGGGGTAGCATTTCTATTTAAGAATCTTTTATAGCCAATAACTGTTATATAATAATGAAATATTTTAATAGGTCAACGTAACTATAAGGAAGATTTCAAATGCTTAAATAACTCCAGCTCCAAACCGAAAATGAATGCATACTGCTTACAATGAAATGGCAACACTCCTTTTCAAGCTCCTTCATGCTTCCTCTCACCTAACGCTCATCAAATGACCTTCCTTCTTGCAGAAAACAAAAATAGTTTCCCATCACTACCTCTGCCAATCCTTGGCACATAAACTTGAACCTGCTACTCTGAGCAAAATGCCTGTGCTTCTCTACCTGATTGACTCTTACACTTGTATATCAGATTCTCCCTTTTGTTCCTGCACTGCCCCCATAATTCTTCTCTCCTAGAGGAACACCCTCATCAGGAAACAAACTTGCTATGATAATTCTCATCTTTTAAAAAAAAGTCTTTACAGCTGAACTCTGAGTTGTCTACATCGCATTTCCACTTCCTCCCGTATCATTCTTCTTGAGCCCGCCTGCAGTCCGACTTTCATTTCCACCTCTTTGAGTGAGTTCTCATTAAATTTACCTCCCTAGAAAGCTGTTTTCCAACTGTAACGATCAATTTTCAGCTCACAAAAATGTACTTAAACTTATGGCAGCACATGACACAGCTGATTACTCTCTCCTTGAAGCACTTGCTCTAGGGTCCTGGGGTTCTACTCTTTTGGGTTTCCCACCTCATTGACCACCCCCCTTCTCAGCCTCCTTCAATCTTCATCTTTTTAAACTCTAAACACTGGATGCCACGTTGGTTCAAACTTTAAGTTAACTCTCTTCTCTGTTTATTTTCCTTGCCCCCAGTGAATTCGCTCACTCTCAGGTCTTCAGGTCATCAGTTTACCTGCTGACTCACAAGGATTGTTTCCAGTTCAGATCTCTACTCTCAACCCCAGACTTATCTTGCCAATGCCCTGCTCAGTATCTCCACAAGGCACCTTAAACATACATTGCCCAACTTGAATTCTTGATTTACTTCCCTAAACTTTCTCCATCCCAACGAGCACTCCACTTTTGCACTTGATCATGCAAAAAACCTGAGACATTCTTGACTCCTATTTCTGTCCCACTTCATGCCCAACCATTACCAAATTATTGCCTCTCCCTTCTATGTTATCTTGATCTACGCTATTTTCAGTGCTCCTTTGAGCAACAATAGACTCCTATTGTTGATCTCCCGTTTATTTCTCTGCCTCCCCATCACCAACTTTCTCGACTGTATTCTCCATACAACAATCACAGATCTCCTTCCAAAATACAAATCAAGAACTCGTTACCTTCAGTATTGATGGGCTAATTGGTACCAACCCTAATAACACCAAAGATAATTAAAAATGTTAAGTTAGAGACCAAAATGTAATTCTGGAGAGTTGTGAGATAGTAAAGAATTACTAGCTGGGCATGGTGACACATGTAGTGCCAGCACTTGACAGGCTGAGGAAGGAGGATTGCCAAGACTTTGAGACCAGCCTGAGGTACATGGGGAGTTCAAGGTCAGCATGGATTTTATAGCAAAATTGTATCTCAAAAAAACAACTAAAGAAAAGAATTACTGAGCCAAAACTAAAAATAAAAACAGAAACTTCCAGGCAAGTAGAGCACTGTAGGTACTTTTATTCTGAAGTCATTTGACAAGCCCAGCAAACTGAACTTTGGTTTGAGTTAACTTTACAGTATGAAGGGGACAAAATTTAAAATCTCAGGGCTCATCCAAAGAGGGGTATCTCATAGGAGACCCTCTTCACACTAAGCTTAAGCCCCAAACGACTACATATTCAGCATTATGCAGAAGGATGAACTAGAAATAATCATTTCTCATGTGGCTTGCCTTAAGAATCCACATCAAATGAATAAGCAAAAAAACCCTCAAACTATAAATTTAAAGTAGTCATTGGGCTCCCTGTAGTAGAAAATGCAAATCTTCTCTGCAGAAAGGCACCTTCCTCCTAGGTCTCAAATTACTTTTACAAATACTTCTTAAACACAATGACTGGTACATGTAGAACAAGGCATAATGAGTAGATCTAGAAGAAGACAATAAACACCAAAACAAACCAAATTATAGGTATTATACTTCTCAAATATGAATTCTATACTCAAAAAAACAATTTAAGGTGAGTTGGGAAGGATGTTCAGGGAACAGGAAACCATAAGAAATAACATTGCAGATTTAAGGAAGAACTAGAATTTCTACAGGTAAGCAAAGACTTCTATATGTAACATATATGGCCACTAAAAATCCAAGGCAGCAACAGACATGCATCTGTATGTCTACCAAAAAGGTATTATGATATTTATACAGACATTATTTATAAAGGCCAAAACTACCTAAATGCTCATCAATAGTAGAATGAATAAACTGTACAATATTTTTTTCTATAAAACTTTTAATCAGGGCTGGGGATGTAGCTCAGCAGCACAGCACCTGCCTGGCAAGCGCAAGGTCCTCAGTTTGATTCCTGGAACAAAAGAAAAAAACTTTTAATCAGTTCAGGCTCATAGTTATTGGACCTTCAGACTGCATTTAGAGTAGGTTGTTGGAACAGAAAAACACCCAAATGAAATCAAGAGAGTTTTTCAAACCATATAGAAATAACAGACATTGGTACCTCTTTAGCACTCTTAAACTGTAAAATATTAATAGAAGAAAATACTAAACAGCAATGAGAATAAATGATTTACTAATACATGCAGCAATATGGAAGAGTTTCACAAACAATACTGAGTGAAAAAAATCAAACACAAGAGCACCTACTTTATGATTCCATCTATACCAGTATAAAACTGCATAGTTAATCTATGATTTAGAAATTCAGGTTCCTCTAGAAGAAATAATAGCTGGAGAGAGCACACAAGGGGATTTTAAGGTACTTATAAGTATCATTTCTTTATGCGTACTGATTACACAGGCACATTTTAAAATGTATTAATCTATGTTGTTATGATGTGTGTGCTTTCATTGTATTACTTTTCAGTGTATTATACTCCATTTAAAAATTTTTCTAATCAACAGACTGATTTTAAAGAAGATTGGATATTGTTTAACAGAAAATTACAGAGCAACAGATTAATCACTAGAAATTATCCAGAATGCAACACACACAAGACAACAGGTATAAAGTACATGAAAGACAGAATAAGAACATCACATGTACATTTAACTACAAAAGGAGAACTAGGGCTAGAACTGAGTAAGTGTTTCGGGAGATAATGGATGGGAATTTTCTGGAACCAAGCACATCAATTTGTAGACACAAAAAGCCTGATAAATATCAAGCACAATAAAAGATGCCATAGCTACACTTCATAGCAAAAGTAACATTAAAGACAAAGAGAAATATCCTTAAATCACCAAAGTAAATAAATACGGATTTCATTTAAAGAACAGGTCAATTCTACTTCCGGGAGAACATGGCAGATAGATAGCAGCAGCTATGGAGGCTCTCTGAGATACCCCCCTTAAAATCCAGGAATGGTGCGGTACGAGAAGTCCTAAGCAAGGGGAGATACACCCTAACAACCCAGGAATGAACTAAGCTAAGAGAAATCAACTGGAAATCCAATCCTGGTGCTATAACAGGAACAGATAAAATCTCAGCGTGGGAAGCTAGAACCTGCCCTACTGGAAGCCACAATTTGAATTTCCTGCTGCTGCTGCTGCGTCCAAATCTGCAGGGCAGGGAGAGAGATGCGTGAAAGCTCTGAGAGCGGGAATCTATGAACGGAGTTGAGAGCAGGACTAGCAGGGAGCCCTACATTGACTTGCGGTGAGTGTGCGGAACGAGGACCCTTTCATAGAGTAGAAGGCTCCAGCAAAGGACATACTGGGACCAGGCAGACTTGCCAGAACAGGACACTACAGTGACATTAGCTGCATATTCCCCTCTCAAGTGGGATTGGTGGGGAGAGCCTGGCCTGTGTGATGCTGCTGACTAAGACCCAGTAGGCTAACCCAAACCAGGTCCCAGCGCCTGGAGGTGCACCTTAGCAGTGAAGCCTTCGATAGGTTGACCTGGAGGGGTGGGCCCAGCAGAGGCTGCCGAGGTTTGTGTCTGCCTAGTACACTGCAATGGGTAGGAACACCTAGC